TTGATCCTTTTCTACATGTATTCCCATCGAGCACACCCTCTAAATATTCATTATTTAACACTTTTTTATAACCTAAAGTTTAATTAGCATTTATATTTTAAAATTCTTCTAATTAAATATTAAAATTAGTTCATCATTTGCGTCACAGCCCACTCTAATCACAAATCTTCTTCTGATTGTAACATTTTAAACGAATTTGATGAAGTGAGGATACAATCTATATTTATACATAATATTAAGACGGTATCATGCATGTATCTATCGACTTTAATTTGATATAAATATTACGTGTGAATAATTTTTACCTTTTAAAATGTTGTACTTAACTAATTAGGGGATTGATGAAATCTTGCCGATCACATACACAAGATCAATGATGATCGAGTACCATTATATATCCTATTAATTAATAACCGCTATATATCAATTTAATTTTTTAAGGGTTAAGTTTGTAAAATTTTGACCCTTAATTTAGGTGTAAATATTAATATATTTATTTCTACAAATTTAAAAATAAAATACATAGAAATATATAATAATTAATAAATTAAAATATTTTAAAAAATATTATTCGACTCTCTAAATTTGAATAGATAGAAGGAAAATTTATCTATTGCTTTTGTCAAAGTCTTTGTCAACCTTCAAGCATATATTTTTCTCCTGCACGTTCAAGGTTAACCATATTGAATTTTAGGGTGAGTTTGATAGGAGTGGGGTGTTTTTTAATTATTATTTTTTAAAGTGCAACTTTCACATATAGCAAGTAAAAAATTTATATTTGTATGTTATAATAAAATTTGTATAATTGCGCTCCATAGCAAACATAAAACTGTATAATTCGCTATACATATACAATTGTATAATTCGCTGGCCTATTTCGCTGCAATTGTATAATTCGCTATCATATTTCACTGTGATTGTATAATGCATAATTGTATAATTCGCTGCCTATTTCGCTGCAATATTTTTATAAAATTTTCTTTGCATACAGTTGAATCGAATTAAAATGTATGTATATTGCATAATTATAAGTGTATAGCAAGAAGATATATGTTTTTCTCTCTCTTTATACAAAAACAGAAACACAATATATACACTTCTCTTGTATAAAGTTAGAGAAAATTGTATTTCACTGCAATTGTATAATTCGCAATTGTATAATTCGTTTGCCTTTTTCTCTGCAATATTTGAAGTAAAATGTTTGTAAATTGTATAATTAAATGTATAACACGAAGATATATATTTTTGCATGTGTAGATACAATTTTCTCTCGCTTTATACAAAACAGAAACAGAATTATACACTTCTGTGTATAAAGCGAGAGAGGCGAGCGAGAATGGAGAGTGGCGAGCGAGATTTTCGGGAGAGAGACGCTGGCAAATTTTAGCTAACGTTTGCTATGGAGTACAATTAAATCAAACCCTAGCTATTCCATTTATTTTAGGTTTTTATTTGCTATATACAATTTTCCCTTTTTTAAAACGTAAAGAAAAATTAAAAATATTTTATAATGAAATTGGAAAAACAAAAATTACAAGTTTAAATTTGATATTGTCCGCACACTTCATACTTTATCTTCATTCTCATCTCATCAGATTTTTATAGAGAGGATTCAAAAAATAAAAATTATTTGATATATATATATATATAGAGAGAGAGATATATATATATTCTGTAGTATTTTATCGAAGAAATTCAGGTAAATATTCTCGTGCTCCTAGATCAATCTTGATTTATTCATGTACCCTCATCTCCACCTCCTATTATTTTGTCTAGATCATAAATATATAATTTTAGAATAATATTTATGTATCGAATATAAAATTAAGTCATTTAATTAGCACTACATACTTTGCGAAACACAAAATAAATAGAAGCCACTTATTTTATATATATATATATATATATATATATATATATATATATATATATATATATATGTACTGTAGTTTTTTATTGAAGAAATTCAGGTAAACATTCTCGTACTCATTCTAGATCAATTTTGATTTATACATGTACCCTCACCTCCACCTCTTATATTTTTGTCTAGATCATAAATACATAATTTTAGAATAATATTTGTATTTATGTATCAAATACAAATTTAAAATAATTTAATTAGCACTATATATTTTACTAAACACAAAATAAATAGAAGCCACTTATTTTTTTTGGAAAATATATGCACCCTACAATTAGTAGAACATACTCCCGAGACGTCCCTATAATTAGTATATAACAATTAATGATATGTTTTTAAAATGTTGATTAAACTTAAGAACTCTAATATAACTAGATAACTGAAGGTTCTTTCACGGGCTCAATATAATTAATTATCTTTATAATTTTAATTTTTTTAACCTAAATTTACATATTATTTTATTATAATTTCTAAAATTTCTAGCATTTAAAAAAATTATAAAAATTTTCTATCAGATACATCTCTCTCCTCTGTCAGATACAATTATCTCCTCTCGAATACATATATATCCTCTCTCCAATACATTTTCATCCCTCTTGAATACATCTCTATTGTCTCCTGGATACATCTCTCTCCTCTCGAGTACATTCATATTCCCTCTCAAATATAGCTCTTTATTCTGGAATTCATCCGTGAGCTATGTGTCTGCAAGTTTCCTGAATAGCAATGTATCATGAGCGATGTATCCGTATGTCTACTGATAAATCAAAAAAATTTATTCTAAGAACTTTTTTGTAATTTGATAAAGAGTAGAATATAATGTAATTAACTTTTAAAACTATGAAAATTTATGTCATTTTAACTTAATTTATGTGACATATTCTTCTCGTAGTCAATTTCAAAAGAATGATGTATTAATATATGTAATAACATTTTGACTTTAAAATATACATTTTATTCTTAATAAGAAATTTTTATTCATATGAATATCTATGATTTATTTTAGAACACGAATTTTAAAAGTATTTTTTTAAAAAAATAAAAACTTCATTTTAAGTCAAATAAATATTACATAAATCGAAATGGAGAGAAATGGAGAGAGTACAAGTTTTAGTTAAGTTTTTTTTAAACTATTTTGTTGTTTAACAAAATTTAAATTGAAAATGCTAATTCTTTTTCACAATTGTTTTATAGTTTTTTTTTGTCAATATCTAGTGGATAATAACCAAAATTTTAATATAAATAAGGTAATAAAGTAACTTAATTCTGAAATTCAAGTATTGATATTAATTGAGAAAATATTTATTTATAAATTGTAAAACATTCATGATCTAATATTTTATATGCTTCTTACTCTCGAAGAAGAACATTAATTTATCATAATTAAAGATAGTAAAAATAGAAATCAACACTAAAAAGTGCAAGTCACTATTATATGAAGGTCAATCCATCGTTTATCTATTATGGAAGTTTCTTAAGTGTATGATATATAATTCTATGACAAGTTAATTTTTTATCCCATATATTTATATTATTTTAAAATTTATCCCGTTATTGATTATGTATTTTCTTAAACTACAATTATATGGTCATTAATTATCAATTCTTACATTATCAACTCTATATTCTTCTTCTTCTTTTTTTTTAATCTCTTTAGAATTGTGTTTTTTTTTTATTTTCTTATTTAAGTCACAATTTTTAAAGATAAAATAAATATTATGTTAGAGATAAAATAGATTAAACAAAATTATATGAATACTTATGTTTGAAAAATATTATATATAATTAAAAAGGATACATACATGGAATTAAGATAAAATAAATATTATTTTGGAGATAAAATAGGTTAAATAAAACTATATGAATACTTATGTTTACAAAATATTATATATAATTAATTTAAATTTACATAACATAATATATATATCTAGGGAAAAAATGGTTTTTTTATCACAATTATCTTTTTTATATACCTCGAGGGCTCAATTTGATAATCTCTTATTAAGAATGGTATCTATCATAGACTCCATAGCCTTGGAAATTGGTTAAAACAAATAAAGTTAATGTCTTTTTAGTCAGAAAACAATAATAACATATGTAGTGTATTTTTACACATAAAATTGATTTATTATAATCAAACTTTTAGTCAGATAAGAGCGGAGAAATAATTGAAAGTTGAATATGATAATACACTGTATAAAACAATAATTCATGAAAAATATATGCACCAAAGTGGCAAAAAAATCCATTGTAAAGCAATCCAATTAGAGAGACTTCAGTCTTAAAGGATAGCATCGACAAAATAACATTCCCTTGAATTATTGGATTGTCATCAAAAGATGATATAAGAGTCCAGAGTTACAATAATATTGACAAAATAACATTTCAAATTATGGAGAACTACTAAATTTGCAGACATCAAACACTACAAAAGTTACTCTATTAAAATTTAATTCAATGTAATTTTCATATTACGACTTATTATTTTTTTTGTTTTTCTATTTGATATGATATTTGATATCCAATATAAAGTATAATTAACTTAGATTCACGTTGCAAAGAGTTTTTCGTAAAAGCACTTTTTGTCCAAGATTTAAAATCAAATCTTTTGATTAAAAAGGAAACAATTGTATTTGTTGCACCACAATTCTTTAATAATGTTGATCGGAGATTTGAACGGGTGAGTATGATATAATTTCTATAAAATCTTTTATAGTCCAAATTAATTTGAGGCTTTATAAGCACACTCCCAAAGAACACCTCAAGTGTAATCATTTTTGTTACATAATTATTTATTTGAAATGCATTTATTTGATGTTTAAGTTGTATCAAGTGATGGAACTCCTATAACAAAATGTATTACCTTATTATAACTTTTCATAGTAAAAATGTATGTATACTCTATTTATTTTTTTGTGTATATGTGTGTGACAGGTTATTCCAACTAAGTGAGGTTAGTGTAAGTTGCATTTACCTTCATAAATAGATAAAGAAGTTGTTATTTATTCATCTTTCGACTCAAGTGATGTGTATTAAGTACTACTACGTCAATAATAAAATTAATTGTTGTTAGTTTCTCTACTGAAAATTTTATTAAATAAGTCACTCGAACGAACAAAAATGATCTTTACATCCTAGCATGCATAAGGATAATTAGTTTCTGTAAGATGCAGTATTTATAGATCTTATCACAAAGCCCATAACATACTATTTTGTCTCACTGTCCTTTTGTCATATCAAAGTCTTCATCATCCTTTATGTATTTCTCCTGCACAGCTGCAACTGTAAAATTGGAATGTCAAGGCCAACCAGCAGAAAATCAAATCAAATATATTCCATAATTGATTTGTTAAGTGTAGAATCATGAAGAAATGAATAAAATCTCTACTTCCTTGTTGGGATCAAATGAATGATCTTTACTACTCATAATATCAACAAGTAGAGGGAATTTGTGAGTTTGGTATCAATTTATATGTTAAAAAAGGATATCGGTAGTAGTCCCAATCAACAGGACCAACTGCAATTTTGCTGAACTCAACAGCACTTGCATCTATGCCTGCAAATATGTATCCATTGCTTTTGTCAATTAGCTTAACTAGATTCCCAACACTCTCTTTATCCTGAAATGGTAAATAAGCTCAAAAAGTTAAACAATATGCTAACAAAGAGTACAGAGGATATATCTCAAAGCCGTGAAGTGGACACTCTCAATCACATCCTACCTGGATATCTAAAGGTGTGAAGTTGACAAGTCCATAATCTTCTATCACCTCACAAAGCTCCTTTGTAAGCTTTCTGCATTATTTAAGTATCAAAACAAAACACAATGTTAAGATAAAATCTGTTTCAAGCTTCTGCATTTTCTATGTGTAAACCCGAAAACACAAAGTTTTTAGATATAAAGATCCTTTCTGGTTATTTCCATCATGTCAAGCACTATGATAAATATCCAAACCCATGTCTTATTATTTTCAACAATCCATATTTGCAGCAATGAAATAAATGATTAACTACAAATATTTAGGATATATTTTTCTCTTCTCTATAGAGATTAAAGGCCCAGAATTACCCTTTGTTTACGTTCATTAGAAAGTGCATTAACATAAATACAACAGTAAAAAGTGGCAACACAAAAGTGTGTAAACTATAAAAATGAGTCAAAGTAGATTGTTCCACACTAGCACTTCAATGACCACCTTCCGATTATATAAGAATAGTGAAGGGAATGACACTTAAATAAGGTGATGTAGATACAAAAAACTCAGCAGACAATAAAGAAGACAAAAAAGAAAACAGTGTTTGGCTTTTTTTCTTCTCCCTCCATTACCCTCCCTTAATTTCTGCCAAAGGTAGAGAGGTCAACACAATAAACTGACACACACCATTTACAAAAAGATGAAACGCTCTCAAAATTGTAGTAGTACAGCATCAAGTGCAGAAGTTATTTACTCATGAAGCTTGTAGAATATATAGGAAACCTCACTCCAGCAACAAGATTTACTAAAATTTCTGTCCTAGTTTGATTAGAACAGTCAGAAACTACAAAGTAACAACAATGTGTTATATTGTGCCAGCAAGAATTGAGAAGAGTTGAAGAGAAATCAGCTATCATTTGACAGTGTTCTAAAAGGAAGGTTGAAGCACCTATACTTAGCAGAGCGAGGATCCTGACTGATCTCATTCTGCAGATACGATAAATCTTGGACATCTGTGTAGAAGTCTAGGTTAAAAGCTGCAAGAATAAGAGAAATACAGAATAAGCACTTCATAGTAGCCACAAAGGTGTTTCATACCTATAACTCATCTCCAACAGAATATTCCAGAAAGATATTCTCCAGAAGAAAATGATGAACTAACCTAGCTTTCCATAGCTTTCAATTAGATCAATCTTTGACAAAACATTGACATGAGGAAGCTCCAAGTGTAACATGGTGGATAAAGAGAGGAGCAATGCACTCACGTATTTCCCTGGATCACTGCAAAGATGGGCATCAACTAAATGGACTGCAGTCAACTACATCAAACAAACCAAATAGTTAGCAATTTGGCTTTAACGGGAAGCATAATAGCGAAGGATGAAATAGATTAGATAACTCTAAAAAAGAGACTAACCCTTAGATCTAACTTCTTTATAAGTTCCATAATCATATTCTTCGCATTGTCATGAAGGAAAAATAGTTCCACCTGACCCGGAAAATCAAAAAGTAAATAGTGCTCTGCAAAAATAAATAGATAAAAGTCAGAACAAGCCGAGGTGATTGCTCAGAATACTGCAGTTTCACATAAGATGATGGGTATACTGTGATTTCCATTAATGTGCTGAATATCAAGAGCTCGAGGTGCTCAAACAACTTTGCTAAAAATGCCAATACTCGAAATTTTTCTAACCGTAAGTCATCAAAAGAAAGTTAGCGAACTTAAGCATGTAAAATATTGTTGTAAATGAGCATATATTAATAGTGTTTTTAGCCCAAGTGTGTGTTATAGCTCCATTACTTTCAACACGTTGACAAGTTTAGATTGAAAGAAACCATTACAACTGAATACATAAATTATCAAATCTCTGAAATCCAAGATGTAGATTGTAATGCCAGAGTAGGAAGGCAGTTAACACCATCTATGTTTTTCTTATTTACAGTATTTACTATTTACACTATCTAATTGGTTGTGAATTAAGAAAATTCCTGGAAAATTGGAGGTTAGGTAAAACATGGTAAGAAGTAGGTAAAAAAAGGAGCAGAGAGGAAAGCAGACAGATTAGCTGAGAAATATAGTACCGATGCAAAAAGATTGCTCTTCCCACATGGAACTGAAACTTTGAGACAGTTGTAAACTCCCAGATATACAGACAACATTAAAGTGGTATAAAGACCTCCATGATGGAACAAATACCAAGCCGGTTCCAGATAAGTATAAAATGATTAAACATAAATAAATGTTGATCTCAGTCAAAATTAATTAACTTCAGATTGAATTGTAACAACCTTTAAGGAGAGGTTTTAACTTGGACTCCAACCAGTCAATATTCTTCTGGAGATAGTCCATGCAATATACAAGCCCTACAAAATGAATGATAAAGCTATGAGTTAAAAAAACAAAGTAGGAATAGCATGAACATAATAACAACTTAAAGCATAGAAAACATCATCTATACAAGGAAAAATATTTCTACACCAAAATTAGATAATGGAGGTAGCCCAAGAATCTGAAGCAGCATATTGTAACGGCACAGGTCTAATGATATGGTGGTAGCATCCACAAGTTTAGCCACTCGGAACTATTTTTTTAGCCACTTGGAACTTATTTATTAGATAATTGAAGGGTGACTGATCTTAATAGAAGGGGGTAAAGGCAAGCTTACCTCCATTGGGACCAAGAGAATGTTCAACCATTACATCACTCAGCTTAATTAGATCCTCAATATTCACAGCACACTCATATCTTTATTAGATAAGGAAGAAAATAATCATATATACTGGTTTCCTATTTAATTATAAATGAACAATCTTCTCGAATTAGACATCAAAATATGTTATCCAGACATTGTCAAAGAAACACAACTTAAGTGGATACGGTAAAGCATCATTAGCGGGATCCAAATTGATAACAGCAACTTTCCTGCAATTTAAACAATCAAAAGAAATAATATCAATGTAAGAGATAATATTACAATTAATTCTAACATCTGCCGTCGATCTGGCAATTACCTACAAATGAATTAGCCAACTAAGCCTCCACTCCCAACTACATTAATCCAATAAATCCGTTCCACTCTAGTCCTATCCTTTCTTCCAATATTAAGTAATTATATTTTACTCTTTTCCTTACTGACAAAGAAGTCCCTAACCACACTAAGAAGTTATATAAACAGGAAATAACATGTCCCTTTAGATCATAGAAACATAAATTACTACAGTACAATTAGCACTCAATATCAATAATCTCTCTTGCATTGATATAAGAAATCAGATACTCATAAAACTGTTCTTTAGAACCAAGACTAAAAAAAAATCCAAGAAACCGTTGAAGATTGTATAAATAAGCAGAAACAGAAAACCCAAAAGGTTGAAAAACGTTACCGTCCAATCAGTTGGAGGAACTGAGACATTCCGTTGCAATAAGTGGTTTTGCCGGAACCAGGGGGGCCAATCACAACTTGACCAAACACCATTCTTCTAAGTTCTAATTCTAACCCTCAAAGCTCCTGCTATCTAAGATATATTTGTTTTGGCAAGTAAGATATAAAGGGGTTATAAAAAAGGTTAGTTTGTCACAGAAAAACACAACTACTAAAGCCCAAAGGTGAGTTTCAAGAAAATCCTCCATAGTCTATAAGGTAAAGAAAAAGATAAACATACAGGAAATAGACAGGGTATTGAAGTTATTTTGATTCGAACTCAGAACTCCAGTGACTTCTGCCACCAAAGGAGAAGTCTAATCACTCACAAACAAACGCATTTTTCATCTCTCCACACCAGCTTAGTTTGCCAAAAGCATTATGCAGCTGCTTTCTCATAATCATCATTGGTACAGTATTCATAATAGAAGCTCCAAACAACCATGTAAAATTTTGAACTGGAAGCACAAGATGACCCAAAACTTTGTACACCTTATGCAGGTTTTCAATATTTACAAAATTCACTTCATTCCAAATGCCATTAATGAATCTACTTGAACTTCCATGCAAGTACAACTTAGCTCTACACATTGATAATCATAGTCTTCAATAAGTTCAATTTAGTCTCTTTATTAAGCATCTTTTTTTACAACCAACCAGCTTTCATGCACCTTTATTTATTTCACTAGAAATGTACCACCTCCAACAACAGGTATCAGTAACTCTGCTAAAAAGAAATCACCTACTACTTTTGTCTCTAACTTGAGATCTAATGATTCTCAACACAATTCATGGACCACTAGCCCGCAAGTGCTCTCTCTTTATTAAGCATCTCCATAGAATATTACGCTTGAACAATATCATCAATGCCTAGTGTAGTTACTAATTAAACTTCAAAAATTAGGTCAAATACCACAAATAAGAAGCAATTTCAAAATTTCGTACTGCCGGAAAATGAATTTCGCTTATTTCAATTTACATTCATTATAGGTTCTCCTTTTCTATCAACAAGCGAGCAAAAGGTTAAAAAAACCAACAAAGGGACAGAGAAATCGCACCAGCTTCAAGTTTCGTGGAGTGCAGCCTGAAAGTGGAAGAGCTCCGCCGCTGAAGGCCGCCGGAGAAATCGCACCAGCTTCAAATTGACTTGTAGTGATTTCTCGAACTGCAAATATATCACCTGGTGACTCTCTTTTCGTACGCCCTACTTATAATTACATGAGACTAATATAATTTTAATTCAAAATTATATTTAATTTCTAAGTACAATATTTCAATCCTTTGTCCTTGGGATGACTCAGTTGATTTGGGGGAATTCATCCCTCCTCAATGTCTTCTGAATCGAGTCTGTCGTACAGGGCTTGCCTAGTACGATTTACAATTCTTGTGATTACACAGGTGAAGATTTACCCGTACACACAAAATGCTCACCTTAAGGACAAAGGGTGAGACAGAGATTGTAGCGACTTCCCAAAAAAACAAAAAGACATACCAATTCAAGACTATACACTATAATATTTAACTCAAAATTATAATAACTAATACCGCTCAATTCAAAATGCGCCAAAATTATATTAACATTTAATTTAGAATTATAATATTCGATTCAAAAGTGTATATCATTGTTGATTCACAACTATAGGGTTCAGTGTAGAAATAGGATATATTAATCAAAAAATTTAGTATTCAATTAATAAAAATGCAAATTAAACTCCAAACTATAGTAATTAATAATAGTCAATACAAACATGTAATGTTTGATCCAAAATTATAATATTCATTTCAGAAAAGAAACATTTTATCCAAAATTTCAGTATTTTCGATTGTGAAATCCAAACAAATTTGAACTTATATGATCTTATGAGTGGGCCTACATTGAGTGAAAAAGGGCCTACAAATTTGAACGCAATGAACACATAGGCCCAAACAAACATGTAGTTTTACTATAAACATTCATGCTCAATATTTGTCAATATCACATTGAGTGAAAAAGGTATGGCCACATATAGGCCCAATAATTGGACGGCCCAATACTAGATTGACTTGGGGATCTTTGAGTAGAGTTTATATGGTTGTCATCTATGGTTTTTTGGAGAATTATGTGTATATTATGAATTAAAGCATTTGGTTCCTATCATCTCTTGAATTTCTCATCCCAATTCTTACTCTTTAGTTACTTGATATTTTGGTACTTTTCCTTATAATTCAAGTGTTTTATTTGTAATTTGGCTATCTTATTATACAATGTTTGAATTAATATTATATAATGTTTGGATAATTGTGTTGATATGTCGGGCTTGTTTCATATACGCTATGCATATATAGATATAATATTAAACGAAATGTAATTTATTTGACTAAAGTTATCAACTGGCATGTTAGTTTGGAGCATAAGTCAGCACGAACTAAATGTTGAATTTCATCGTAATAGAGCTGTTAGTTTGCTACATAAATAACCACGAACAAAATATTGAATTTCATCCTAATAGAGATGTTAGTTTGCTGCATAAGTGAATTTCATCGTAATAGAGATGTTAGTTTGCTGCATAAGTTATGCAAATTTCATCGTATCAGTCTCTTTTATTATTCATTTTTGTACTTGTTTTTTTATTTTTCAATTATTTCTTCATAATTCAAGGCAGTTATGCCAAATATTTTGCAAATTGTTACCGAATGTTCTAAACTATCAAAGCACTCAAAGGTAAACAAATTTTGAACGTGTTTTACAAAATACTATCAATCGTTCTAACAAACTAAATAAACAAATTCAAAATGCATAATAACTCGAATCCTAAAGATAAAATTTCGACTAAGGTTTGATGGGGATTTCCTTTACAAGACTTGATGCAATGTTCACACGGTATTCGTAGAACTATGGCTAATGATCCATTCTGTATCAATTTATATGATTTTTTTTAATGCTATTCAAATAAAAGAGTGACACACTATAACTTGAAAATAACTTTGGCTAATTTTTTCTTGGTGCTATTTTAATTTTATCCATAGTGAAAAGTTTTAGTACATTTATCAAAAAATATCATTGTCACGTAATTCTTTTGTTTGCTTCTCACGTAGTGGCCAACATGCAGTATTCCATATTCATGCACGATTAAATCTAAAGTTCTAAACTCATTCTTACAAAAACTATTTCTTAGTCATAAATCGAGCCCAAAATTTTGGATAAAAAATAAAAAAAGCTTTTAACACTCCATTAAATAAAACATAGATGATTTACACAACCTATCACTTGTATTATTGCTTATTCACCCTGTTTTTCATTTATTAACATGTCAAATTGTCATATCTATCATTAAATGAATCCTCTTTTAGCAAACTTTAGGTTCTAAGGAACAATGATTTACGAAATAATTGTATTTCTAAGGGACTTCGACTTCTCAACGTACTTAAATTTATATATGGGGATTAGACTAATAAAATTTTAGAAAAATATATATTGAACTCCTCAAAATTGACATTTATAAATAATAACACATTTACAGCTATTACTTCTTTTCTACTCTCCTATTGAAAAAAAAAAAACAGTACAGTGGGTGGCTTTGACAGATCAATAATATGATTATGCCATGTGACAGATTCCTTATATGTTTTTTCTTTTTTTGTGTGTGTGTAAGGGTAGGGTTAAGTTCCCCTTGTATAGGAAATTGAATTTCAAAATCATGTCTAGCATAACTCTAGATGGTCCAGCATAACTTTCTTTTAGGTTGTTGATAAGATTATGGTCCACCAAATAATAAAATTTTTCGGAAAAAAATTAAAATCAACGTCTTACAGAGCCTGTTTGAATTGACGTGTTTTAGATATTTTTCAATTAAACAAGCTTCTAAGTAATTTGGTAGTAATTTGAATAGATTAGAAAAGTTTATTTTAATCCAAAAGTCATAACTTAAAAATCCTAACTTGTAACTTTTAACATAGGCTATAATAAGTGCATCTGAAGTAAGCACTAAAGTGACTTTTAACTTTGGTAAAATAATGAACTCTTCACTTAAATTCTTTAATTTCGTATTTATTTAAATATTATCATATAAATTGAGACGGGGGAGTTTGTGCATAATTGCTTTGACAGCAAATAGCTAGATATTCCATGAGAGTGATATGATGATGATTCATGTGGTGGCTTGCTAATATCAATAGAGCAAAGAAAAGATCTTATTCTACCAAACTGGGCTCCAATAAGCATGTGAAACTTTGATGCCTATGCAAGTAACAATCACTTATTCCATTCCTTTATTTTCACTGTTTTTTCATCCTTCACTAATTATATCAAGGTTTTCACCAAGCAAAATTTGATAATTTTTCAATTTTTTGATAATTTAATACGTAAGCAAAGAAAATTGTCTCAATAAAATATATATACTCCACAACTTAGGCAAACATCTATAAGTTACGGAGGGAAGGAGAAGACGATCAACAGAGAATGTCACTTATCGAACTTGTTTATCTAGTCAACAAGAAAAGTCACTTTCTTGATTTATAAGGAACTTATTTTCTCACTATATTTTACCAACACTATATGTCTTAGTCATATACTGCAAATCAAATTTTTTTAACCTCAACTTTCTGTTGTTCCAAGGAAAAAAGTAGGGGTATATATATATAAATATTTACAGATAAGAATCTTTAAAAAATGTTAAAAATATTGGAAAAAAGAAAAAGAAAAAAAGATCTGCATAGTTGTTGGGTGATGTATACTGGGGACAAGATGATAAAATGTCTATTTCTCTAATTACTTAAATTGCTGTTCTCAACATCATCATCATCATACTTTCTCATCCTTATCTTCCATCCATTTCCTCTCTATTTTTGCTTCAAAACTCCAAACATCAAGTGCTTTTTGCTGCAGAAAAATCAAGAAAAGAAGTTGATTATAGCCATGGCATTTGCAGGAACAACACAAAAGTGCATGGCTTGTGACAAGACTGTCTATCTGGTTGACAAATTAACTGCAGATAACAGAATCTATCACAAAGCTTGTTTTAGATGTCATCACTGCAAGGGCACCCTCAAGGTTTCTTCTTATGACTACTTTGTTTTTTAGTGTTGATAATTGTGGTGTTCGGATGAGCTTTTGCACAACTCGATTAATTCCACTAGCTAGACAGATGGGAAGAAATCTTACAACATAAAGACTATAGCTTTTTCATGTACTTCTTACTTTTAGCTTCTATTTTGTCTTCCATGGAAATCTCATTAGAGATAATCTGTCTGACATAAGAATTTCTTGTTCAGCTTCAAGTACTTCTCTTCTTTCCTCCCTATTACATACACAGGTTTTGGATCAAACAACAACAAATTTAGTGTAATGACACAAGTAGGGTCTAGGGAGAGGGTGTCTACGCAGCCTAAATCCTACCTTGCGAAGATAGAGAGGTTGTTTTCGATAGACTCTCAAGGAAAGCATATCAAACAATATGTAAAGTAAGAACAATGAAGAAGAGAATAATAACAACAACAAATAGTACGATTACTGAAGCAATCATAAGGATCATTTTATGCAAATATTAATACAACACTCTGTAGAATGGTCTCTGTATAGGTCTATCTGACTTGTTCAGAGTCAAAAGAAGTAGATTTGAGTTTTCTATTCAATATTACTAGCTTTATATATCCATTCTGGAGAGGCTATAAGTTTCATCAGTTTCTGTTGGACTTATAACATTCAAGGTTTGGAGCTTAACTTTTACTGTTCTTTAATTGTATCTAATTGGCAGCTTGGCAACTACAATTCCTTTGAAGGAGTTCTGTACTGTAGACCACACTTTGATCAGCTCTTCAAACAAACTGGCAGTTTGGATAAAAGCTTTGAAGGTAGAGGTTAACATGGACTGTAATTCCAAATAACTTTTGCAAACAGAAAACTTATTGACAATTTAAAATGTTACAGGGACACCAAAAATTGTGAAGCCACAGAAGCTCATTGACAGTGAGGTAATTGACAATGAATGATCAAGCTTTACTGACATAGAACATCTATGTTGCTCGGACTCTTCAAAAATATCAAGGGGCGCGTATTCTCCAGAACTTGTGGATTTTTGGAGGATCTGACATGGGTGTAGCGACATTTTTTGAGAGTCCGAGCAAGTAGAGAGTTTTACCTTCACTTATTAAATGCAAGTTGTATCTTTGAAACAGAAACCACAGGTAGCTAAAGTGACGAGCATGTTTGGTGGAACAAGGGAGAAATGTTTTGGCTGC